TACACTGACGCAAGTATGCATGTACGCATGTGCGTACATATGCATGTACGCCTCTACGCATGTATGCATGTACACGTGTCTGCATGTACAACCTGCCCTGCACTACCCTGCCTCGTCCGACCCGACCCTGCCCTGCCCTGCCATACCGAACGGCACCACACCATGCCAGGCCCTGCCATGCCCTGCCCTGCCCTGCCATGCCATACCATACCACGCCAATCCCATACACCATACCATGTACCATGCTCGTATACACACAGCAGAGGAAAGTATGTTGCTTCTACATACATATGCAAACAAACGTGTACATGCCTACGCATGCACAAATTATGTATGTACATGTGTCCTAAATACATGTACAACCTATAGACGCCATATTGACCAATGCTGTTGTTTGTTGCTTGTTTCGTTGTTGCTTCTTTTTGCGCGTCTCTCGTTCTCATGCCCCACCCGTCATGCACCTTAAAATCTAGTTGCATCTGGGACGTCAAATCGACGCCACAAGTCTGCACAGGACCCGGAGCAAGACTGTTGGGCTTTGAGATGGTCACTTGCATTTTGCCCCAAGACTAGGATTAGGAAGCGGGCAGACACCCCAAGTTGCTCACAGAACAAGCCAGCGCCGGAAAAACCCAAGCCCAAGCCCTAAAAAGGCTTACATCCCCCAAAACGCCCTAAAACCCGCTCCGAACCCAAATATTAAACCCACAAACCCCCTGGTTGGGAGGGGGTCTTCGGCCTGCAGCAAGCCGTAGAGGCCCAGGAAGAAGCCCATGGCCGGGAGCAGCTCCACCTTATCAGAGACTTCACTCATCTCCACTCCATCAGCTCAGGGTTTAGAGGTTTTGGGTTTAGGGGTTTTAGTGGTTTAGGGCTTTAGGGGTTTAGGGGGCTAAAGCTTTTTGCCTCCTACTGGAGCATAATACAAAATAGTGTTGGTCATGATTTAGGCCCCTGTTGTACCACCAGAACCCAGAAAATCAAGGCTTCAGGGTCTTCGATCGTGGGGACACGGTCGAGGTCCAGGTACCGCCTGGGTTTAGGGTTTAAGGTTTGGGGGTATAGCCATCCTTACTGAGTCCATCAAGCCGCCGGCCCCAGCGATGATAAAAATCAGCCTAAACCCTAAACCCTCTTTTCGGCCTGGGCATGGCGTTACGATGGTGGAAATGAACAAGAACTCCTGTAAGAGTCTCGGATCCTACGAGGTTGGACTTTTGTATGCTAGGGTCTGCGATACATGGTCCGAAGCAAACCCTTCGACCCTAAAGACATAAAAGGGAACCGCAGATCCTCCTGTAAAAACCAAGGATCGCCAGTCAATAGAGAGCTTGCCAAACTCTCATGCCTCCCCGGACAGCTTGCAACAAAATCCCTTGAANNCCCCCCCCCCTCCCCCCCGTTGATCCCAAACCTCAACCCCAAAGCCTAAACCACTAGGGGATTGGGGCTACACCGAGTCCGAGGGACCCAGAATGGCATGGGACGCTGCCGCAGCAGATCCTCAGAGGGCCAAGCACTGACAGGCACGGCAAGATGTAGTACGAAAACAAGTCTTGAGAAGCAAACCCTAATTAAGCCGTTCTAGCCCCTGAGCCCGACACCCGAGACCACCATATAACGGTCTTGCTACTTCGAAATGGGTTCTGGGGGCGTATACACCTGAAGACTGAATCAGGGGGTACACGGGGCTCTCTAGACCTTTGGCAACGCAGCCCCGGCCTCATCCACCCCCAAGTTCACCAATCAGCATCAAAGCACGACCCTCAACCTTTAAAGCTACTTGCATGCCTGAATGAATATGGTCTGTCAGACCTCTACCAAGGCCACAAGGTCTCGCATCAAGGAAATCGCAGAACTTCCTTTAGGGCCCACTGTATCAGTATATTCTAACATATCCCAAAATCCGAACATGAGTACTCTAAGAAGTACTCTACGATACCCAGATACACCCTAAACCCTAAACCCTACTCACACAGCCCAGCCCTTCAACCATGCTAACAGCAACTGGCTTATACAGGATCGAGGGAGACCCAGCTGAGGGGGCCGAGGGTCCATAGGGAGTGGGTTTAGGACTTTGAAACAAAAAGAAGGACTTTTTAAAGTTTAGGGTTTAGAGTTTAGGATTTAGGGTTTAGGGGTGTAGGGGTTTAGTTGTTTAGTTTAGGCTGCTGCTTCTCAGAGAATTTAGGGTGTTTGGCGTAGGGACCCTATGAATAGACCAGAATGTACTATAGCACACGATAGCACACTGTAACATACTACAGCATATTTTCGCATATTGTCGTAGGATATACGATACGAGACTATACTCGAATACTCTAATATACTACAATGTCAAAACGACTTCGAGCCTTCAGCTCTCACCTTCCAGGGCGGGACGATCTCCAGCGCAAGCCAAGTGTCAAGGCTACCGCGGAGCACAGAGAAGAGCAAGGCGGAGACGCACACGGCCTCAGGTCGCTGCACTAGCTGCTTGTTGGTGACCGTCGGTGTTGTTGCTGCTGCTGTCTTCTGGGCTGTACCTGGCTATGCAAGTCTATCGAAACACCAAGCGGCTTATCATTGCTGCAAGCTCGACATCTTGCGTCCTACTAATGCCAACCTGCTGCATCACAGCGGCGTCCTGAACACCTACTCACTGTGGTGAGCTCACGTCGGGTTGTGAATGCTCGTATCAAGACCCCAAAAGCCAGCCAGCGAAAAACCACTACCCAACTGCACCGCTGAAAAACCTAAATGGCCTAAAAACACAAAACGGCACAAATCCTCAAACGAAAGATTCACCAAAAAGCCCTAACCCCCATAAAGCCCCCAAAAGCATGCAGCGCAAGCAAACCCTAAAACGGATCTCTTGGCAGCCCACCAGCGTGCCGCTCAACAGGGGCCTGGGAAGTTGAACTACTCTGCCGAATCAAAAACATACCCTAACTGAGGGTTGAGGGTTGAGGGTTTAGGGATTCTTTCCCTCTCGCATAGCAGAGAACAAAGCTTACAGGAGAGGTTAGCATAGGACCAGAACAACTGCATGCACTCAATTATCTGTCAGAAGATGCTCATTGCTCATTGTCCCAAACATTCTCCCAGGGTTTGGGACAATGAGCAATGAGGGGGAGGGTTAAGGGATTAGGGTTTAGGGTTCAGGGTTTACTTTCTCATAACTCGGACAAGCTAGGCGAGAGGGTTTAGGGTTTTTAAGTTTAGGGTTTAGAGGGTTTACGCTCTCACAACTCGGACAAGCCAGGCGACGATCCATAGTTGCAGGTCGGAGTGATACAGTTTTCAGGCCAAGCACTTGATTGATTGAGTGAGTGCGTGCGTGAGTAAGTGAGTGTCGATTTGGGGTGCTCTCCCGTCTACGGAAACGCTCCCTCTCGCATTCTTTGCCCCTCCGCATGCGTCATCGGGGCTCGGTGCAGAACTCAACGCTCCGGGCCCCGCAATCCGAGCCTGAGATTTCGGGAGGAATGCGCCACCCGAACCTCCATGGGCCCGCCCCCAAACCGGGCGGCTTGGATTGGAATTGGACACTTGGCAAGACAGCCCACTTCGCAAAAAAGAACAAAGCTCTTCCCTCGATGATCCCTCACCGAAGTACTAAGCTGGGGACGCTGGCTCAGAGACGGGGGATGGTCGAAGAAACACGCGCACACCCACAGCACCGGCAGCGAGACTCAGGGCAAAAGCACACTCAGCTGATGCCCTTTGCGGCTGCAAATACTCGA